TCTGTTGGGTTATTCTCATGATCTTTCGCTTCACCGATGCTGTTTTTTTTTTTTCTTTCTTTGAGTGCTATTACGGTCTATTCCTTTCTTCTAGTCCACACCAACCACGATTGCGAGATGTGACTCACAATGTTGCCGGACGTCGTTTTCATTTATTATTCCCTCTATGGTAGATCTCTTCACTACATAACTCGAGCAGGTGAGAAAGATATGCGCCGCATTTTCTTTAGCTTTTACATTACAGAAGATCACTCAAGCCAGTCATCGTGGCCGAATCTCTGGAGGTACTCTCTGAAACAGCCATGGCCCAACTAGAACAGCTTCAGGGGAGAAGTCAGTTTCTTCGTATTGCTTCTCAATCCTGTCCATCTTCCGTTCGTCGCCTATATATGCGCATTGCTATCCGGCGGCATAATGTCAGATATAGAAAATAACGGCCACTTCATGCGAGATCATTCTAAACGCACAGGCAACTCTAATAACGCTCAGCTTGAAAACTGCACTTGCAATATTGGCATATGTTTTTTGACGCAGGGCTGATTCTCGTCAGTACCGCAGTCATCAGAACCACCTTACTACAGGCTCTTTGTACTATCTATGTGCCTTAAAGTTGTTTTTCTGATCGTGTTAAACACGTAGCCTTATTGCAGGTGCACTAAAATTGAGTAAGCTCTTTCGCAACAATCATCATAGCGATGTCGTACGCCTGGCCTATTCTCTTCTCTTTCTAGCAGTAAGCGTAAAATACCATCGTTCAACATATTCCAAAACAGCGTACCCAGTACCGACCCCTGCAGTACACCTGCAGTCACTGCACAGTCCTAAGCCTTGACTCGGCATCTTACAATAGCAGTATGTTCGAGAGTTAGCTATCAATTATCCTGAACAGATACCCCGGTGTATTTCTTTTCTGCAATGCCCTCGTGGTATACGGCCAATATGCCGTGTTAAAGACATTTTTCACGTTCAGTGTGATAATTGCATATAATTTTTTCTCACCATACATCCTTCTATTATCCTCCACAGCCGTGGTTGCATCATCAGTATATTTTCGGACTGCATCTGTCGTGTACCGATGTCTCCTGAGAGTCAAATTCATTTTTAAACATTCCAGACGACTCGTTGTCTTGGTGGGTTTCCAAACGTGTACAGATCAGTCTCTCCAAAATTTAGCTACCAGTCATACAACCATACAAAGTGGTCTATACGAGCTCGGATCTCTAGCCGATTTGTTCGGCTTCTAAAGTAGAACCGGACGCTGCTTTTTCAATATTTTCGGAAAAATTCTTTCATTAAAGCACCATGTATAGAACGCGGTGAAATCCCTTTTTCTATGTTAGATGGTGAAATTCTAATTTTTTCCTTCTCGTCGGTGTACGCTTCCAACACTGCAGGTATCCTTCTAATCGTAGACAAAACATTTTTACTACAACGTTTTCTAAGAAAGCAGGTCCAACTGGACATTTTGGAACACGTTACCCAAAGGGTTGTCGTCGACTTTCTCATATAATTCTCGAAGACTTCCTCCTTTTGATTAGCTGCTTCAGCTCCTTACGATTTGTGTTGAAGCATTTACGCATTCGTGCATGATCAAGCCTCTTCTTCTGGGAGAGGCAGCTCGCTTTTTAGTGCGATAATCTCTTCATTCCACTTGTATGCGGACTTTAGAGACACATTCTGGTTTTTCTACACATGCCACTTTTGTAGGCTTTTATTACGTGCTCCACTAGCAGGACAGCAGAGAGTGTGAGTGTCTGTTGTTTTTTTTTTTTTGGCTAGCGCCCGAGAAGAGGAATTTCTCATGAGTACTGCTATACCGTCATAACCGTATGCACGACTTGCAACTTCACAGTTGCACCTACGTACAAAACACCTCTCCACAACTCTCTCTCTCCGCGGAACTACCAATGAAGTATTAATTCACGCGGCTGGTAAGCACTGTGGCTCTCACTCGTTACTGAGTTTTAGCATCACACTTTACACATTACAAATTCATTAATTACTTGTACAGCTGGTGAGGCCTAGTCTTCAGTCTATCTTCTTTTACAGCGTGCGGAAAGTCTTAGTTTCGTTAGACTTGGTCGGAATGGCCTTGCTTCCGCTTTGCTCTGGTATTATTTTATTAGGTGTGGTTAGAAAGGATGAATTTCCGATCCAAACTAGCATGGTATCATCTATATTGGCCGGAGCGCTCTATACTCGACTATCCTAAGTCGCTTCATTAATTCTACAATATCTCGGCGCATCTCGTCCATATATATTCTCTAAAAATCATTGCCTTCAGTAGTCATCAATGTGCCTCCTATACACTGCCTCCTGAGCTGCCTGAGCTCATCTTTAAATCAGCCGCAGTATATAGGAGAATGATCTGTGTTTTCCGTCTCTCCTTTGCAATGCAAACTATAAGCATTATCTGCATGCGGGTACTTATACAAGCACTAGCGAAAGCAGCCATGACCTATGAAGATCTGCGTGAATGTGTGAAAGTGTGTGTGTGTGAAGCTTCGACAGATGTTTGCTATTGTTTTTTAAATAATCTTTTTTTTTAATTTTTTTTATATATTTAATTTAATTTTTTAAGGTAAATGCTTATTTTAATCGACTAAAGGCGATGTATATATGTACATATGTATACACACACTACAAGCTATTTTTTAATATCTTAATTATCATAAAACCAATGATGATAATTTAATGGTCAATTAAACATAAATTTCAGTAAATTACCAAAATATCATTTGGTATCTATTTTACCGAAAAATAGATTTTGTTAAATTAAATATGCCGCATCAGACGGCCGTGGCAGCCAACAGGTTAGAATTGTGTACTGCAATTCGGGAGGACCGGGTTAATTTTCTTGTACGACCGACATCCAAAAATTAAAAAAAAATTAATTTAAATTATCTAATTGCGGTGGTTCTCAGGCAGGGAATGTCAACCCCTCATAAAAAAAAACCATCACCTGATTTGTAGGAAAAAACACCAAGACGTAAAACCATAAATTCGAGGAGAAGCTCGGCCGAAAATCGCTTCAGCGGCTACAAGGCGGTATAAATGTATGTACATATATTTGTGCATATACATATAATGAAATTTATTAATAATCATTTCAATTTTATGCGTAATCAACAAAACAAATTCGTGGGTGGCGATTAATAAACTAATTTTACGCCTATAGACCGCAATACCGGCTTTGAGATTCCGCTCACCTTCTTAAATCCGTGAATCACTTGGCGTATCTTAGAAAAAAATGTAAGATTTTTTTTAATAATTAAAATAAGCTTCCCGAGAAACCCTTCGGAAGGAACTTATGTCACGCGATGATTAAGGCTGCCCACAAACAGGGACAGTGTTGGGCAAATTTCTTCCTCTTCTCCCTCCCTACAGCTGAAAGAGAAATATTATGCCAATGATCACCCATTATCTTGTCGTCAAGCTCCACTGATACCTACCCTCATTCAGCCATCTAATATCCACTGATATCCTGTGTTAGCCATGGGCACGTTCATGGTTTGTTGTAGTTAGAAGGCTTCTCCCTTATGGTAGCCACCCATATCACAGCTGCGTTATGGTTTTTCCAGAGCTTCTTCAAAGTAATTTACTTTTTATAGCAACTTTTAGAAACATTTTTTCTCTAGAGCAATTTTGTTTGCAGCTAAATTCGCCTCTGCTCTTTAACTCGCCTCCAAAGGGATGTTCGTTAACTCCAACTCAGTTGCGCCTCTTTCTGATACAATCGCGTAAGGGAGTCTGTATATATATATATATATATATACATTATATATATCATAATTATATATGTATAATTGGCGCTTAGTAACCACTAACGCGGTATTTTTATGAGCGCGACCACAATTAGAAAATTGAACCCAAGCTTTTATTTAAATTTATTTCCTATAACTTTTAGATGTTAATCGTACCAGGATTTGAACCCGAGCCTTCCGAATGACAGTACGCAATACTAACCACGCCCTACGTCGAAGCAAAAAAAAGTTGGCTCAGCAAGCTAGTATAACTAATGGAAACTTGGCTTCTGGAATGCATAATAACTGGATGTTCTCTGATCATAAATTTTTAGCCATCATTGGGAAGCTTCCATGATTGCAGTATATTCTGTTAGAAACGCTCAGAAGTTGTCTGGAAATCTTATGTTTATATTAATTAAGAACATTGACAAGGGACTCAAGATCTGAGCATGAGCCATCTGTAAAGATGATGCTGGTTCACTGCTCTAGGATGTTCAGGTTCTCCTTTAATTATGAGATTCACGATCTTGTTGCAATTTCCTCTGCCTGCACTCCTTGTAAAAAATTTGGTGATTTAATATCCATTAAGGCAAATTTGGTTTGTAATTTAGACGCAAGATTAGCAACATCCGCTTCTGATGCGTCGACCATACTGACCATAAAACGCATGCACCTTAACTGAGCATTAAGGTTTGAAAAAAGGAGTATCTTAACGGATGTTGGCTCTCAAGTACTGAAGTGTTAAAATTTTATCCCCATAAACACAATATTTTTCGTAGCCAAATTGACATCGGTAAAACGAGAGCTTACGCGCCCGGAAAGTTCTCTCACAATAAAGGCATATTCGTACCATCTTGTTGAAACCGTCATCGTGTTCTACAACTGCAGTAAGATGCATTCACTATTCTGGACCAAAGAGCACAACAGGCAGCATGTTTTCTTGGGAGGAATGACAAGTGTGAAAATTTTGCTTGTGTACGTATCCCGAGTGAGAAATGTGCCTCGTCGATGAAGGAAACTTTGTAAAAAAATATGTGAAGTAAGAAAGTCTAAGCTCGTAGAGAACGTCGAGAAAAATATACACATTCGTACCTTCGGCAACGCTTTCACTTACAGTAGCAATATTCCTGACGCAGCCAACAAAAGGATGACACACAAGTATTCCAATATATATAGCTCATCCAGCTTTTGTCATAATTATTTGCTTTGTCTAAGTAAATATTTTTTTAAAGTTTATTTACACAAGGGGACTAACAAAAGTTCGGTCAGCTGGTGGCTTTTAATTTGTTTTTCTTAAATCTAAATCTACCAAATCCTAATACCATTATTACATTCTAATGAATAACCTTTGAAAGATACAAGGAATTAATTGTTGTTCACCTTTGCACGTCTTTCGCGCTTTTCCATTGCCTCCACGAATAGTGTTGCCGTGCCAACAAAAACATATGGATAACCTTCCAAGAAACGGACCACTACTTTGTAAATACCCAAAGGCAGAGCGAAAGGCATTAAACGTTCATCAATATAAAGATTGTAGAGGCTTAGATGACCCTACAAAGCGCGGCGAGCAAAGGCAATTAATCAGAAATCATGAAGAAATAATTATTTTCCAGAAATAAGAACTCACCCTGAATGGACAACTGTGATTCACGTTGGACATCTCCTTCAGTATTGTCATTAATATTTTGCCATAGACCGAAAAGGCTCGTTTACTCAGCATATCGCAGCCATTCACCGTTGTATTTATGAGAAAAGGCAGAAAATTATTTGCACCATTTTTCTTAAACACCTGCAGTTGTATCTGAAAGTTTTGAAGCACAGATAATATTACTTATTTAATGTCAAATTATATACCATCTTTGGAGTGGAAGACATGGTGAAAGTCAAAGTTCTCTTACCGTTACATTTGTTAATGGCTTCAGTACATCCGCATCCCATATACAAATCGATTTTTGCCAATTTATCGGCTTCAATTGGCAGGTGACATTTGCAATGAACTCGGAATTGTGCTTGCATTCAATGCTTAAAGTCTTGTAAATCACAGTAGAGTGAGTGAACTAGCAAAAAAAAAAAACATAGTAAAGAAAAAATTGCATAAGCAATTAAAAAAAGTGTCTTTAAAACTCCGGCTTATGACAGGAAAATTCAATTTTTATTGCTTTTGCTACATTTTTGGCACCCACCAATGGAAGTCAATCAAAACAAACCTCTAAAATAGCCACATATAGCCCTAAAATTTTCCACTTGAGCGACGGCATTGCAAAATGTGCTTGTTCTCCGTCAAAGAGTAAATCGTGATTGAAAATAATACAACTTCGTGGCAAATTAAAAACTTTTCAATAAATACGTTTACTGACATTCGAACAGTAAAAAATTGATTGTTTCAGATTGTGATCACTTTTGTCACAACAGACTGGTGGCAGTATAGGGTAGCTCATAATTTTTTTTAATAATTTTTGTCTTTTTTATGCAGTATTTGTATTTCTCATACAAATGTTGTTTCCGCTAATCTAATCCAAATATAGCTACGTTGCATTGAAAAACTCAATTTTGAATTTATTAAACAGAAAAATAAAGCCGCAAGAATAGAATTTTTGTAATCGATATGAGCACCCTGTACTATTAACATCTTGATAAATATAATCAGCAAGAAATTAGTAATAGTTATTTGCAAATAAAAATTAATTATTAAAAAAAACACGATATCATTGGCACTGGCAATATTAAAAAATTAAAAATCTATAATCCCACAAAAAAAATTGTAAAATAATAATAAGACAAAAAAATTAAATGAAATAAAATCAAATTAAATCTATCAAAATAAAATAACAAAACATGAAATAAACTTAATATAAATTAAATATAATAAAATAAAACAAATAAAATAGAATAAAAAACAAAAACAATATAACAAAATAAAAAAAATAAAATAAAATAAAATAAAATAAAATAAAATAAAATAAAATAAAATAAAATAAAATAAAATAAAATAAAATAAAATAAAATAAAATAAATTGAAGTAAAATAAAACAAAATACAACAAAATAAAGTTAAATAAAAAAATAAAACCAAATACATTTAATTAAACTAAATTTAAATTAAATTAAATTCAATAAATTAAATTAAATTAAAATAAAACTAAACAAAGTACAAACAAATAAAACCAAAAAAAGGTATAATATAAAATTATAAAAATTAAATTATAAAAATTAAATAATGTAAGATGGAATAAAATAATATAAAAATAAATTACTTTATTTTAAATTAAAGGTAAATTATATAATAAAGTAAAATAAAATAAAACCAAAAATATAAAAGTAAAATATATAATTATAAAAATAAAGTTATAAATATTAGATAATGTAAAATGGAATAAAACAAAAAAATAAAGTAAGGTAAATAAAATAAGGAAAAATAAAACAAAATAAAGTTAAGAACATAAAATGAAATACAATTAAATAAAATAAATTAAATTAAATAAAATTCTATAAATTTAATAAAAAATAAATAAACTACAAATAAAATAAAACCAAATATATAATAGTATATAATAAAATTATAGAAATGAAATAATGTAAAATAGAAAAAAATAAAATAAAATAAAATAAAGGTAAAAAATGAACAACTATAAAAAGTAAAATAAATAGAGTTAAAATAAAATATCATAGAATAAAAAAAAACTAAATAAATTAAATAAATTAAAAACATAAAATAAAATAAAATAAAATAAAGTAAAATAAAATAAAATAAAACAAAACAAAATAAAATAAAATAAAATAAAATAGAATAGAATAGAATAGAATAAAATAAATAAATATATTTGAAAAAATAAAATGAAATAATTTAGACAAAACAAAATAATATATAAGAATATATAATATATTTATATCAAATAAAATAAACTTAAAACAACTTACAATAATAAAAACAGAAATCTCAGTCTAATCTGCGTAAGACGTATGCACCCGAAATGAAAGGATTTTCCGGGAAGTAGACCTGGGACTGATCTACTCGAAAATAAAGTGAATTAAATTCAGTTATTACAAAATAAAATAAAATCAACAAAATTTAGATAAAATGGGAGAGAATGGAATAAACTTATGCACCTTTTTGCATGATATCATTTTACCATTTGCAAGGCAATGTTATTGTGCCTCTCTTGTAGAAACACAGCTAGTCATTTGCCAAAGACTGTAAGTGATGACAGTTAATTGGTGCTAGTTCCACATAGAAATCTCACCACCTAGTTTTCAAAGCTTCTACTGAATCACTATTGATGTTCCGAAGCTGGTGTTATCCTTATGAAACACAATATCCGTCTTGTTTGCCAAAATTGGATGCTTCGAGGCGATTGCATCCTCCCGACAGTACAAGTCCGATATCAGAGTTTGACCATAGGGGTGTTGCTCATATTGGATAATTCCTTACTACTTGTACTTTGACGTTGGTGTAAGTAATTCGCTTTTCATCACCAGTTATCAACCGCTTCAGAAGTGAGTCGATTTTGTTACGATTCATCAACGATACCCAATTCTGCCAATGAACTTTTTTCACTGTATCTCTTGTGCATCCAGTCTTTTTTAAGTTGTTCGAAACTCGTTTTTTGTACAATGTTTAGCTCCTGAGCAATCGGGACAAAGCGTGCATGGTGGGCAGACTTGCCGATTTCCATTATGGGAGAGCATCTATTACATTAGAATTACCGGAATGAAATCATCGAAACCAAAATTATCACGATTGGCTCTTGCGGTATCAGGGCCATGAACACTGCTCATAATTTAGCTGCCTGCATTGCGTTTTCATCTTTACCTAGAAATTTTTTTAGAATTTAGAATTAAAATCTTCCTAACGCCACATATCGTAATCCAGTCGCACTTATAGAACGTAAGACACAGATCACTAAAGTCGTCTATTGCAAAAATGATAATAATATAAATAAACAAAAATAGTAAATGGAAAAAATGCTGATATTCAATATAACCGTTTTAATGCACATATGGAGTAGAATATATTTTAGATAGTGAAATTTAGATAATGAAATATTTCTGTCGTTTACGCAGATACTCAGTCACAGCTGTTGCTACCGCACGCAGAGCTAATCTAATAAATTAGAGTCACAACTAAGGACAGAATCAAGTGATGAACTAAAATTACAGAAACACTTCACCATTTTCTTCATCTATCCAAAATGGAGCAAACCGCTAAAAATATGAGTTAAAAAAATTGGCAAAAAAATAAATAAATAAAAAATAGACGCACACACATACATCTGCGCCACTTATTCACGCCTAATATTCAGTAATGAATATTGCTAGTTATTCACAGCAAAGGGAAAACTCATTTTATTTTTATGACCACTGGCGACTGGCGCATGATCCTTAAGAATGCTCACAAATTTCGGTTTAGTTTTACCGTGCATGTGTGGGGCTAGCAATTTTTCGGCAATTTTTGCCCATAAAAATTCAATTTTCTGCTGCTTATTTTCATGCTGATGATGAGCATTGATGAGCGAGCGTGTGCGCGGCAGGAGTACCCAGAGGCCTGGTCGAGACATTAAATATCTCCACACTTTCATTGTAAATGGTTTCTGGTCCATATTGTTGTGGTCGTCATTTTTGGCCACTTCCAAAGATATGAATATAAATAGTTTAACCCTCAGGCAGCCTACATTCCACAGTAAGCTAAAATTCACGAGCAAAGTGTCCGTTTGTGTGTTCAAATAACCTTAAATGTCCAATACATATGTAAAAGTGTGCGAAATTTAGTTTAGTGTATTGCGTCAGCAGCAGCTGCTGTCCTTCACTATCACCCCTCATTTATTTGCCATTTCCTTTTTTGATCGTCTGCTGTTACATTTCTCTATGTGATATTATGTGTGCTGCTGCCGCACAAGTGACCGCTAAGCATTACAAATGGAACTGTGTGGAATACCAAATTCCCCGAAGAAGACTTTTTGGTAAAATTGCCAGCAGACGGACATATCCAATTTTTTTGTCTCTTCTTCGATTGTCGCACATATGAGCGGGTGTTTGTATGTGTGCGCTTGAATAGGTATTTTATAAATATTTACGTGCAGCTGAAATTCGTTCGCACTTTTTTATTGCCACACCAGAATATTCATAATTCTCTGAAATACTCACAATTGGGTTAGGAAGAATTACGAAAAGAACGTTGAAGTTCTTCTTCACTGGTGATAATTTCCACATGGTCTTGACTGAAATGAAATGTATGGGGTAATATCTTTGTAGGCATTTTCCTTAAATGTCCGGTCTCTTATTTAAAAACGTGGCGCTGTCCTGCTTGTTGATGTCTCTGTATGAATTAAGGCCGACAAGAACCCCCTCCAAGAGAGAGACTCCAGCACCAAGTATGCACCACACTAGATAAACGTCCAGACATAATCGACAACAGCTTAAACTTATTAAAAGTATCGCTTATTTTCGTCCACGCTCTAACGGAAAAAAGCACGATGTGGGCTAAGATACACCTGGAACTCACATATGAGCGCTGATCTCACCACTACGTCAATATCATGTTTGGGAATTTCACCACCAGTGTAGGCATAGGTGGTTTGTATTTTCATAGCAGCAGTCACAAGCTAAGCGTCCATTATGAAACATTGTCAAATGGGCTAAAGATCAACCCAAAATATTCAATCCTAAATCAAAGCTTCTGCAGCCAATTCGGTCAAGTGGTTATAGACGGAAAAAGATGTTTCCAAGGTTCGAGATATGCATACGCACGTTCTGTGGATCTTACTTCTGATCAGACAACAATCTTCTTACAGTACAGATATGTTACCACTTCTGTGCAGTACAATGTCGAGAAGTTGAAAATACAGCCACCTAAACGTCTACTCGACTTGCGCTCCTATACTCTGAGAGCATTTATCAGCTACTCAATACAAGAAAACTGCGAAACGGAATACTTACCGCCGCTAGAAAAAAATGCGTTTTCGTCATTGAGGCAGAAACAGAAGCAGGTTGTACCATGAGAAATATCAAACTACAGTGAAGGCGTAAAATTTTCCTACTTCACAAAGTTGCGATCATCTAAAACGCATGCGACGATGTATAGAAACTGCAAGCAGGGAATAAAGCCAATAACCAAAATGGGTGATTATAAAAGCCAGAGTCAAAAATGCGACGGGAGCATACACTTCTACTACCCAAAAAAATGGTCCGGCTAGACAGATGTCCGAAGTGCACTGAGTATATAAAGGAAATACTTCACCAGTCAGCTAAATGGCTGTGAAAGAGCACCAACCAGAAGCGAGAAGCCTGAATATTCAATTAATCATGT